GGCCGCTCCCACTGCGCAGGCGTGCTCTCGTCCTCCCATCCCCCTCACCCCTTCCGCAGCACTGCAGCCTCTCCTCCCTCCGCGGCGACGGCGGTGCGAGCCACTGCGTGCCGAGCGAGTCAGCTAGAGGGCGTGAGCCGCGGTGCTCCTGCAGCCTGCAGCCTGCAGCCTCCGACCGGCCGGCGAGCCAGTGCGCGTGCGCGGCTTCTGCAGCGACCCGGGAGCCGACGAGCGGGCGGGCGAGCGAGCGAGTTGTGTGGGGCGCTAGGCGAGGTCAAGCCGCGAGCGACATGGGGGACCGGGAACAACTGCTGCAGCGGGCGCGGCTGGCCGAGCAGGCGGAGCGCTACGACGACATGGCCTCCGCCATGAAGGCGGTGAGCGCGTCGGGAGCCTGGGCGGCCGGCCGGGGGCCCGGCGCTGGGGAGGGATGGGGCGGTGTCTCTCTCTTGGCCCTGGGCGACCCAGCTGGGCGCGGCCACTCGCAGCCCGCGCTTCCGAGCGCCCCGCCATTTCCTGCGGCCGGGCCCGGGGCTGGGGTCTGCGGGGAGGCAGCGTTTGGGGGTCACGAATGCAGTCCCCGGGAGGCGGGCGAGGATCGCGATCTCCCTGTTCGGGGCCCGGGGTAGGGGATGCCTGAGGAAGCGGGAGGGAGCCACGTTCCTGCTCCTAGACCATTCTGTCGGACTCGGGGGCTCACCTTTTCGCCTTCCACTATTCACCAACTTGTGGTATAGAAGCACCTCGTGGGTGGCGCCCTGTACCTCCTGGCTTTCTCTGCGGCTACCCGAAACCTGCATTGTCCCTTTTTTATCTTTCCACGCCCGGGCTCTGGCTTTTTGTGCAAAGACTCCTTTACCACAGTTAAGGCGTGGACGAGGGCAGGGGAAAGAGGGTGTGGGGCTCGTTTTAGCCTCGTATTCGAAGCTGCCCTGTACCTGGGGATTAAAATGAGAGCTGACTTATAGATAAGGGGACTCAGTGTGCCTCTACATTCCGGAGACCCTCGTAGGTGGATTCTGTTACTTCCGGTGAAGTCCTGCCCAGCCACACCCTAACAAATACCGTGGATGAGACACCACCTGCATTTCTGAGACTTTGAGTTTCTGTTGCCACCTCACTGTCACTATCTCTTCATATTACCTTAGGTTTTTCTTATCAATGAAAATTACTTCTTTGTCAAGGTCACACGGTAACATGGTCATGAACTGCTATTCCTCTGATGTACAGCCTCCTGAGATCTTGGAGCATTCCCCTTGGACTCCACCTTAGACCTACTAAAGATGGGGACATTCTGGGTGTGAGAAATCTGCGCTTTCACCAGCTCATAGGTGATTTTTACTCCACTTAAGTTTGAGAATTACTGCTCCTATGTCCTTTGGCTGGCCTTTTGAACGAATGTGTTAAAAACGACTTCCAGAAGCTCTCTAAAATTTAAACTCATTTAAAAACCTTATTTCAAGGCCTGTGATACTAATATCAGATGAAATATATAGTCGGGGTCAATATTTACGATTATCCAGGTAAGAAAGATACTTCAGCTATGTTTCCTGTATTCTAATAGCCAAACCAGTAGGTGTGTTAGGAAGCCAGCAACACCAAGGGCCATTTGTTGATTCTTTGATATCCAGATTTCAGCCTTATGGTATGTGGTTGGGGTTAAGGTAGGAGCTTTTTTTTTTTTTTTTTTTTTGAGGCAGGGTCTCACTATGCAGTTCAGGCTGGCCTTGAGCTCACTTTGTAGCCAATGCTGGTCTTAAACTTCTAAAGATCTTCCTGCCTCAGCCTCCCAAGTGCTGGGATTACAGGCATTCACCGCCACACCTGGCAGGCTAGGAGCTTTTTATCCAAACCAGGTGACAATCTTAAGCTTAAGAGCCCTCTTTTAAAATGTGAATTTAAAGTGAAATTTTACAAAATTTACACAAATTTAACTGTATAAATGCATTTCCTTGGCAGGGGCTCTGAAGCTTAATTTTCTTTTGGGGAAATAGCACAGCAAGTCACATTTCCATGAACTCCTTAACTGTCATCAGTACTAAAAGAGGGGATGGGGCTTCACAGAAGGTGAATTGAGGTTAAGGACAACTGACTAGATGGTGCATTCTGGAGCTATCAGAAACATGAAGCAACTCGAGAGGGGAAATGAGCGGAGGTGGAAATGTTACCACGACAAAATTTAGTTTAAACCAAGAAAAAGATTAGCTTTTTGATTTTCATAAATAGGTTTAAAAAAGCTTTCCATCTATTTGCTACTTATGTCCACAAACTTCACTGAGGCATTAAGGTAGCATTTTGGAAAGTAATGCCCCTTCAGTGTGTTGGAATTCATTACAGTCCATGTCTGAAATGATTGATGAGTTGGGAAAGCCATCAAACATTGAAAAGTCTAACCTTTAGCTGTCATCAGAACTGCGTAGACCATCCCCTCAAGTTAACTCCTATTAAAAAGTAGGAACTTTTTTTATTGTCAATACACCTCTTATGTTCAGTGTTTTTGACATCTAAATGAAATATATTGGTAGAATTTTTTTTATGTTCTATGTATTAAATTGGTGTTTGAACATTAAAATTCTTAATATTACTGGGACCACTCTGTCTCCATTTTATTGATAACATGTACCTTAAAATTAGGGCTTTTAGGAATATTCAACCTCTGGGTTTATGTGGACTTTCCTGTCAGGATGGTGGAGAGTCAGGTGAGTAGACTCTTGGGAAGGTGGAGCAGGGCACCCGAATGAGTGGATGATTTGATGCTGTGGCTTGGTGACCTTGAAACTTAAATGTCTTGACCAGGTCCTCAGAGGTATACAACAAGGAATGTTGATGTAACTAACAAGTCATTTCTTCCTTTATTTTCCTATTTTGTTTCTGTTTTCTTTGTAATTGTCACCTAATAATACTGTATGTCTTTGATGATGTACCTTAATGTAACTAGCGTCACCTGGAGGACAGTGTTGGTAAGCCTTGAGAAAAATTATGCCTATTAGAAACAGTGATGGTGCCTCAAGTCAGTTTTTAACTACAATTTCCTGCCTCACCCTATAATTTGAAGAGGCAAGAAATCAATTTTGTTTTTTTCTACGTCCCCACCTCACCCTCCTTCTGTCCCTCCTTCCTTCCCTTTCTTTTTCTTTTCAGATGAACCCAAGTCTTTGCACAGACCATGTTATATTTTTATATTTTGAGACATTGTCTCTAGGTCAAAGTTGTAGTCCTCATGCCTCAGCCTCCTGGGATGCCTGTGTGCCACCACACACTTTTAAGAAATGTCTCTGAAGAGTAATTTAATGAAGTATCCTCAAGCTTATACATAGTAGCTTACATGGGGTGTAATTGTGTGAAGAAATAGTGAGTAATTGTAGACCCAAAGTTTTTTCTAGATCAGCCATTGAATTGAATGACTACACAATTCATAACCTCTAAAAAATGAGTATAGTACCATCTTATAAGACTTATGAAATAATGCATAGGCTGGACACAGTGGCATATGCTAGTAATTCCAGCACTAGAGGCAGGAGGATGGAAAGTTCGAGACTGCTCTTTAAAATAAAAAAAAAAAAAAAAATATATATATATATATATATATATATATATATGATTTAAATAATTTCAAGAAAGAAACCAGATAGACACTCAGTGATATTCATGGTGGATATTTAATGGTGTCTCTTACTTCCTGCCCTGTTATTTATTTTATATTAAAACATATACATAGACAGTAATTACAAAGTTAAAAAATACAAAATGTGTGATAGTGTGGTATGTTTTAACACTGCTATGCAGACTTAGTGTTGACAGAAGATAAGGAGAAATGTTTGAAGGACTTGAAGAATATCTATAGAAATGTTAAGTGCCGGAAATGAAACTAGTTAAGGAAATGAGCCTGCTAGGAAGAGACTTGGTCCAAGAAGTGGCAAAAGGTTCCGATTCCAACAGCTGGGAGGTTGTGGGAGGTGGGGAAATGAGCAGGTGGTGTGTAAAAGGAGAACACTTGAGTAGCGCAGAATGAGGCAGAATGACAGATTCATCCTTGTAAATTTTAAGGATGAAGGGCTGGCCAAATAGCTCAGCAGATTAAAGCACATGCATAGGCAGATGCAGGGTCTGGGAGTTCAATCCCTTGGCCTGCAGTGCCGGCCCCTCCCCGGAGCTCGCTGAGACTGGGCGTGGTGACGCACCCCTGTAATCTCAGCTCTTGGGAGACTGAAAATAGGAGAATCTCCACAAGTCTGATCTATGTAGTGAGACCCTGTAGACC